AGCAGCGAGAGAAAGAGAGAGGTATGCTGCTGAGAAAAGGTCAGTGTGTGGAGGGCTTTTTTTTGAAAATGCCAGAAGACTGAGAAAGCTCAGGAATGTTGTGCTCATGCTGTCTCTCTGTGTTATGGCTCTGATGTTCATATCTGGCGAGGTAGGGCTCGAGCAGGTGACTCACGATGCACAGAGGAGAGAGGGAGGGGGCGCTACTCAACTGAGGCTCAACATGAAAACGTATTAAAAAACCTACAACTCTGAATTCCTATTCCTAGAATACATTTAAAGGACCAGTGTGTAGGATTTAGTGGCATCTAGCGGTGAGGTTGCAAGATTGCAACTGACTGAATACCCCTCCCCACATTTCCCTTTCTGAGCTTATAGGAGAACCTAGGGTGGGCTTCAGGTAATGTGAAAACGTGACAGGCCCTCTCTAGAACCAAAGTTTAGTTTGTCTGTTCTAGGCTACTGTGGAAACATGGTGGTGCAACATGGCAGGCTCTGCAGACAGGGACCCGCTCATTCTAAGCTAATGAAAACACAATTCTTAAAGATATTATATCCTCTTCAATTTCTGCCAATAAAGCCCCCTTAATCCTATACACCGGCCCTTTAAGTAGCTTGTGGGTAATGAGTATTTCAATTCAAAGTGTTTCTCTTCACAGTTTGCAACAACAAAAGTGTCTGCCCTCCTCTGACACCCACTCATTGATTCTTTAGCCACACCAACATCGTGATGAGGAATCTTCTAACCGATGCATTCCTCACTCCCAAGGCTGCACACACTGTTGTTGTCCACATTGTCTGTGAATTATCTGAATTATTACACTACTTTGCATGCCCAACAGCAATTCAGAGACCACAGCCATCCAAGCTGTTCATATACACTCTGCTCTGACTTCTACTTCTACTACTTCTGCTCTGGTGGCGTGTGTGTGTGTGTGTGTGTGTGTGTGTGTGTGTGTGTGTGTGTGTGTGTGTGTGTGTGTGTGTGTTTTCTCTCAATCCTTGTCTCATATTTTATCAGAACTGAACAGATTCAGAGCGCTCTGGTGGCCGAGTGTTTACAGCGCATGCCACATGCTCTCTTTCCCCCGTGTTTCTTGTCTGCATCTTAACTAATATCTGTCCAATAAAGGCAAAACAAAAAAAAGATATTCAGTTCTGCTCATCAGGTGAGCCAATTCTGTCATAGAGACACAATGTTGAGTCCGTCCTGATTAGATACTATCATACTGTGCATCTGCCCTCATCAAGTGCTTTACTGATGCATCTGCATTAGTTGTTGTGATCCTGTTATGTACTTTATAGGAGGCATAAATGGTTGAGTCTATCTGTACGGCTACATGCTGATAGATTTTGTTTCCAGCCCAATAAAATGGAGATGAATGGGATTAAATTTGTGGTGCTCACAGTATTGAATAATGATATTTAAACATTTGAACAGTATACATCTTTTCAGAAACAGTGTCCTTGTTACTCTGGGTAATCCACAGACGTTATTGTGGACACATTTTTACTGGAACTTTTTTTTTTAAAACAGATAAAACACAGATATACACAGTTTAGATAAAAACTGTTGACACTGTGTTCTGTAGATTGTCCAGATGACCCTGTTACTACTACCCTGTGTTCCCATGCTGCAAGCACTGCAGATGCAATTCTGTTTACACTCTTTGTACTGGGCCTGAAGCAAAAATATCAGAAATAAATATCTGAATATCTTGAATACCTCCTTGGTCACCACCAGAGGTTGGTGAGAAAATAAAATAAAACAAAAAGATGAAAAACATCCCAATTCGAGAAAGACACCTAATCATGTTAATAATTCCTGTTAGTGTACGGTTTGGACTGTGTACAAGAAAAATCCGTCTTTGAAAACAAATGTCTCAAACCCTCAATAGATCACGTGTCTAAAATAAGATTTCTAAAGTTAACATCTGCAGCAATTTGCTGCAGCAATATCTTATCAGCAGAGTCAGACAAAGTTTAATGCAAATGCACACAACAGCAGTGAACACTTTAGGTTAAACCCTGCAGGTTAAGCAGCTTAAATACAAAGGAATGGAGGCTAAGGCGGTAATCCTTGGCACTTGGTATAACAAGATATTCTTTTCTTCCTGAAATACACACTACATTTAGGCCGTAAGCCACATTAAAGCATTTGTGTGTGAGTATTTCTTTGGTTAATTTTTTGTTTGAACATTTACTTACTTATTTTTGTCTTTCAACATGGATCTGGGTCAGAATCTGTTGCTTTTTGACTTGAATGTTTGCGGTGCTTAGTATTCTGTTTAGGATGAACTTAATGAACTTAGTGGCCGTTATCAGTGGAGCTGAGCTGTCTTAAAGAGGAAAACCCACCTGCAGGAAACACTGGACAGGGTAGCTAGTTTATGCCTGCTGTAGATAGCAGAGATGACTCCTTAGATGATAAACTAGACCACTTGTAGACTAGATACGTTTGTCTGGCTAAAATTAATTTTGAGTTCCTAGGAAGGATGCAGCTCCCAGTTCACAGCAGTCTTCTGTTTTTGTCTTTTTCTCCATGAAACATAACCTAAGCAGAAAAACTGGTTCATCCACCCTGGCAGTTGAGGTTCAACTCGTTTCTGCTTTCAGAACAGCTCATCCCTCCAGCAAATGTTTGCTTTAACTAAAAACCTAATCCATCACTGTGAAAAAAATAAAAAATGATGCAATTCACAGCCACATGTCAGCACATCTCCCCACCATACTTCACGAACAACACCACCTCTTTTATCAGTTTCAAGAAGACATTTAGATTCTTCAGTACATTCCATGTTTCTGAAATGAAATGAAATGAACTCTTTATTCTTTGTCGATGGGCTGCAAACTCCATCAAAACTCAGAATTCAGCCACCCACTTCATTTTCTCACCTCTCAGTAATTTCCCCCGTGAGATTAATGAGATCCTCTCGGTTCTATTAATATTAATCACATTAGTTTTGTTTTTTCCTGATTGACCTGTCACTTTAAGTTCTTTCACCCTCATTCTCTTCAACATAACTTCGCCTCCTCAAACTGTTTTAAAGCAGTCCACACAGACAGACAAGGCTAATGCTATCAGTCTTTGATGTGTGGAAGAATAAAGGGAATCTGGAAGAAACGTGTGGAGATTGACTGTCTCGCTCAAGAGCTCTTCATCTGGGCGGATGTACGCCGGCTCTGGGGGCTTGCATTCGGGCCTTCCAGTCAGAGGTGAGTGTCATGTCTGATGGAAGAGGAAGCGCCATCTATTTTTTCTTTTTTCTTTTTTTTTTTTATAACCAAACAACATGAGGAAACATATAGCTCCTCTAAACAATACAACAGGATAGGCTGCTGCACTTCCTCTATAGAACAAAATGAGGATTGTCACACCACATGGGATCTATGTGATGAATGCTAGCATGGAAGTATTATTCAGGTAATAAATGATGGTAATTATGATAATGGTGTTAATGTTGATTTCACTGATAAATGCAGCGGCGGTATAATGTTGCTGGAGATGACATTGCAGTTAATATTGCTGTGGATTTTTGTGGGAGCCATTTGACAAAGTGATAAACATCAAAGTCATTATTCTAATCATTATTTATATAACAATAAAGAATAAAGCAATGACGACAGTAATAGTAATAATATGTGTTTTGCTCACTTATTTTCGCTTTTTCTACATGTTCAAAAAAAAAAAGAAAGAAACCAAGTTGTTTAGTTCTGAGCTCTGACTGCTTTTATCCATCCTATCACTTTAACACCGTGTCTGTCTGATGTCTGCCTATAAAATCTTTCAAGATCATAATGGAAGGAGGTGATATTTCTTGTTTTGTTATTTGAGAGCATGACTTGTGACCAGTGTATAAATAATTCACCATTAGGTTAAAGTTCTGAAGTCACCTCTCTGCCCTGGCGTGAATAATTGGTGAGCAGGACAATTGCGCCCCTTAGCGGTAAAATAGGCGAATCACTGGCGCACAATCCATGACACATGTCACACGTGTTTACAGCCTGATCAGTTATTTATGCTACAAGCCTACCTGTTAAATTCACTGTGAAAGTTGTCATGTACTTGTACTTGTCATGTAGGCTACAGGAGTTTCCGTGTCACCCAGTCAAATGTTTCAGCAGCTGAAGGACGGTTCTTCTATGTGGGGATCTTGTGGAAAACATGTTTGTCACACATAGAGTTTCGCAATCTTAAATTTTCAGAATTAACCACAACCACAAGTTACACAACACATTTCCATTAGATTAGGAATGAAAAACTATAAATCCTTCCAGATCTGATATTTACTAATTTCTTAGTACAGAGATCTGCCAATGCCACTGCAAAACACACACACACATACACACACACACACACACACGCACACACACACATACACACACAATGGATACTGTAACGATACTACTCCATAAGAGAAGTTTACAGTATCAGGCACTGTATGGTTATTATAAAGACATGATCGAGTGGACACTGTGAGTCTGTTGTATATTGAAAAGATTTCCTGTTGCAGCTCCGGCACAAACCACACGATGGTGCACAGCAGCAGCCGGTCAGTTAATTTACATTTATCTGTTCAGGTTTCTACAAAAGAATGTTAAGAATGTTTAAAATGGACTTTTGGGTCAGCTACATGACATAGTATGATACTATAGACCATTTTACTAGGCCTAGTCACTAACAACAGATGTATGGATTAAAGGAATAATACCAGTACAAAGAAATGTTAAACTGTGCTATCATTAAGAAAATATCAAAAACAATCCGTAAATAAAATAAATATATAGGCCATAGCCTAAATAGAGTAATAATAAATAAACTTCTGCGTCTTTTGTTTTCTCTGGACTCCACTTTGTTAACCACATGTGATTGGCTACAGATTCACAGGTGGGTTCCTGGGAACTTGGCAGAGCTGTTTCTCAGCTCCGGTCCCTCCTCCTCGTCCTCCTCCTCCCTCCTCTCCTCCTCCTCCTCCTCCTCATAGAAACTCTATCAGCTCAGCCCCGCTGTACTTCAGAAGCGCTCGCTGCCGCCGTGCACTCGACCACACAGTAACTTCACTGTCTCTGCTGCTCCACCTCTGCTTTCCCAAACTTTATTTAGTTTCGATGCCACGCTGGATTAAGCCCACTAACTTTCGGCTGGAGAAGAAAGTGGTTTTCCCGACAGCGCAGGTACAATGACCGCAGTCTGCAGTAGAGCAACCGACTAGAGGTAAAAAAAAAAAAAACCAAATAACTCACTGAATAACTACTTTCTTCTGCAGCTGAATCACAAACTCTCCAGTGTAGTCTCTACTAAATGACGACAGCACGCCTGTTTATGTTGTGATTTTTGCACAGATGCACAGACATTGTTGGGATTTTAAGTGATCGAGAAGATTAAAAAAGCAAGCAAAAAAAACCCCAAAAAACAAACAGTACTTGGTCTCTAAACTCACTGTTGCTGTGGGCCATTGTTTCCAGTTGGGATTGCTCACAGCTAACTGTATCCTGTCAGCTTTGTGCCTGTAATTAGAGCATTTCACAACAGTGAACATACACAAAAGGGTTATCAGCTGTCTGCACCGTCTTGGCTTCTCTTTTGCATGTCACCATGTTTCCTAAGTTTAGCTGCCAGTATCTGCTCTGAATCTCTGTTAATGAGTAAACTTTGGGAATTTGGACACTGCTCTGACCCCTTTGATACTGATTAGTATTGCCTTCTTTTGTTTATCTTCAGGGGGTGAAATCAGTTCGCTACAGGGCTGCAGTGTTTCCCCTGTGACCTGTGTGTTTGGTCACACAGCGAAGAGGACGCAGGCACGTTGCAACCATGGATATCGGCAATGATGTAGATCTGTCCAATAATAACATCACTCCTTTGTGGAAACGTCGCACAGACAATTGTAAAAAACCCCAGGAGTCGAGTAAACCCAAACTGCGACCCCTCAGTTACCACACAAATGGGGTGATGACGACAGACTTCCCTGTGGAGGACAACAAGTGTTCCTTCACCTTGAGCCAACCTGCTGAGAGACTGGTGGTCACACCCCCGTGTTCAGGCAGGAACACTGTGGTGTTGAAGCACATTCTGCACAAACCCTCCAAGTCCAAATCCCGAGTTGTTCGAAGCATCAGCATCGGACACTTCTCCAACGGACGCTTCTCACTGTCCAAATTTAGGTCTGAGGATAGCAGATCTGCTTCACTGGACAACAGAGTGCGTAATGGAGATTGTGACAGGGGGAAAACCAGTAATGGAGAGACAGTATGGGTTGAAAAGCGTCTCCTGGACTCCCAGAAACGCATGTCCAGTCCGTTCGGTCTGAGCTCACAGAAAGACCAGATAGCATTTGGGACGAGTTCAGCCTCACCTGAAGCTGCTGCTCTGATGAACCGTTCCTCTCCTGTCGCGTCTCAGCGCACCCCTAACAACAACAACAACTACAACCACCATGAACTGTTTTCCCTTTCCTCTGCATCCAGCCCCTCTCCCCCAGCCTGCCGTACCCCTACCCCCTCCCAAGGCTCCACCTCCAGCATCCCCTCCCTCTCTTCCCTCAACTCCTCAGACCCCCCGACCCCACGCTCCCCATCACCGGCCGACAGAGCACAGGCTCTCCTCGGACAGTCCTCATCCTCGCCTGCATCCTCGCAGGACACCAGACTTGCCTCTTCCTCCTCTTCCATCTCTTCCCCCTCCCCCTCTCCCTCTCCCTCTCTTTCTCCGTCTGTAACTCCCTCCATCGTCCTCAGCACCCACAGTCCAGCTGCCCTGAAGATGGGCACCCAGCAGCTCATTCCCAAGGGTTTAGCATCTGATGTTCGGCAGAACAAGGCGCCTCCCTGTGGGCAGCAAGGCCAAGGTTTGGCAGGGCGGCTGGGGTTGGATCATTCCAAGAGAGCTTTGAAAGCCCTCAGCATGGTGGAGACAGGAGCCTACTTTTCCACAGGAGGGGACTGCACTGAGGGGACAGAGGGAGAAAGTGAGAGCCCGGGGACACTCAGGAGAGGTTTGAGGAGTACATCCTATAGGAGGGCTGTTGTGAGCGGAGTAGACCTGGAGGTCCCATGCGTAGATCTCAAGGTCCATCGGTTGTCACAGCCTGTCATCAAAGGGCTCGACGGGGAAAATCCAGCTTCACCAGTGAGCCCGGCCAGTCCTGGCACCGTAAGCCTCACTAGCCCTGGTGCAGCCAAGCCTGCGAGTCCTAGGACACCGAAACTTGCCAGTCCTGGGACACCGAAACCTGCGAGCCCTGGGACATCGAAACCTGCGAGCCCTGGGACATCGAAACCTGCGAGCCCTGGGATATCGAAACCTGCGAGTCCCGGGACACCCAAACCTGTGAGTCCTGGGACACCCAAACCTGCGAGCCCTGGGACACCCAAACTTGTAAGTCGGGGGACACCCAAACCTGCCAGCCCCAGGATTTCAAAGCCTTGTAGTCCTGGGACAGAAAAGTCTACCAGCACTGGCAAAAACAAGGTGGGTAAACCTTAGTCCTAAAAAGTGGTGGTGGGTTCAAAAGGGGAAGTGTAAGGATGCACTCAAGAAACAAATACTGGTGTGCTTGAGGTAAAAGGGTGAAATATCTGGCAAAAAAAAACAATTGCAATATCATTCACACATATGGGAGTAGGAGCACTTTCACTTAATGAGTTAAGTGGACATATACCAACATACCGACTACCACTCCTACATGCCAGTTACTGAACTCAGCTATCAGACAGCCCTGGAAATGCCCTGTGAACTCTGGTATTGTAATGTTTTTTTCCTTCGCCGTAGCAGATTGAGATTTCTTGATTCTGTTAATCATAATCCATCTGACGGGTTTATATTTAATTGTGCACAAAGATTACTTCAACATGGGGTAAAGTCCAAGAAATTATAAAATCACAGCACAGACTGAGTATTGTGGAACAAACTTTGCAGCAGCAGAAGCTGGGACAAGGCCTTACAAGGAAACAATTAGTGTGGTTGTTAGCAGACATGATGTAATGTGACACAGTGCCCACACATACACACTTATATCCACAATGGTTCTGTAATTAGACAGGGGTCAGTGAAGGGTGTCACCAGAGAGGTCATGGACAGGTCATGGACAGGTGACAGAGGTACACACTCCTGTTCCATTGACTGTGCGTGAGTATCTGGCTGCTCCCTTAGTTTGTCCATGTCGTTACATTTGTGCTGCGTTTCTCTTTCAGAGTCCAGATAAGAAGAAACTTTTGACCTCTCAACGGACATTTGACAGTGAGGGTGAGAAACACCCGTCTGTTCTTTTTCACCACACTTTTCGTTTCATTTTTTACTCTTTTACTGTCGGTTTTCCTTTCTGTTGCTTTCTGAAATCAACAATATCTTTTTTTTTTTTTCTCTCTACTAAAACATGATGGATCTTTCTGACAAAAAAACTGGATGTTTCAGAGGAGGAGCTGTATCAGAACTACCAGGAGAAGGCCTTGCATAATGATTCAGATGAAGATGCTGATTCCAAAGAACCCAGTGCTGATAACGGCATCGTTGTGCAGTATAGACCCATACGCATCTCCTGGAGCCAGCTCAGTGTGGTCAGATATAAAACACACACACACACACACACACACACACACACACACACACAAAAACACACGGGTTGTGGTAGCTTCCATTCTTCTTCTTCTACCTTTCTCACTCTTTCTCTACAACCACTCCACATACAAACATATAGTATACACTCAGTGCTGTGGCTGTGGAGCCTTGGAATGTGAGAGCTCTGAAGAATGCTGTCATATCCAGTTTGGCCACAGTCCATACCCATCCTCCCACTGTCTCTGCCTTCCTCTGCCCCTGACTCTGTTTATCAAGGAGTACAGAAGCATTTCGTTTAGGACTCGGGTGGGCAGGGAGGCAGACAGTCAGCCAGACCCACAGGAAGCCTTGGAAGCACTGCTGGGCCTTATGCCAGTGTGTTGGCAAACTCCTCATACTCGTCAGACTGCAAATATGCTTAAAATGCTGCCTCTAGAGAGAAGTGCGGTGGCTCTGCATTACATAATATAGTTAAGGATTGGAATGTAAGGATAGCGGAAGTGAATGAGCTAATTTAGTTTTTTACTTGGGCATGCCCATCTGTTTGTTTACTTGGTGAGGAGGGAGCAAAAACAGGTCAGGGAGGTATTTATGATTAGTTCTCGAATTGCTGGCCAGAGAATAATATGCACACAGACTCTAATAAATAGGAAATTAGATTGAAACTAAAGATGTTTAGAAAATTTCCCTGGTCATCTTGTGTATGTCAGCAAGACGCAGAGGTGAACTGAGCGCAGTCCGACACTACCAGGCTGACCAAGACTCTACCAAAGAAAGCTTTCTTCTCCGTCACAGCTGCTTTACAGCTGTGGATCTGTTAGTGTGAATGTGTTTTTCCACACAATACAAGACATAATTCGTCAGGAATTTTGCTCAACTATCACAGTTTGCGGGACATCCTGGCACGATGCTGTCGTTGCCCTAGTGTGACAGGAAATAAGATGATTTCCAGTGAAGCTGAGAACCAGATATACGGGTTGTCATCTCCCCTCACTTAGCTCCTTCCCTCTCTTTCTGGCTGTGTAGCTCTCCTTCGCTTTAAGGATTTGGATGATATGTCATATCCCAGAAGTGTTATGTTCTGTGGAAATAATCCGCTGCAGTTTCAGGTGGTGGAGCTGTCTTGGAGCTCAAACAAGAAAACCTAGATTCAAGCTTCAGAAAGGGAACTTATAATTGCCTTTGAATAATGACACCCAATTGACATAGTTCTAGTTACACCCAGTGAAACTGAAAATCAGGTTACAGTTCAGTTGCCACAACAGGGCGCAGGAAAAACTCTATAGCAACAGTAGTCATTGCTGATATCGAAGATTGGAGGTTTGGTGAAAGAGAAAGTAAGAGCGCTAGATAATAAAGAGGATGTGTGAAAGGAATAGAGATGTTTGGTCTGCTGCAGGTCTGTTTGTTCTCAGTGTTTGCGGAAGGCTTCAGGGCAGATACTAGAGAGAAGGAAGGCTGCTCCAGGAGCAGTATCACTTCCTTGTGCCTTTTATACCAAAACAGGACGAGAAGGTAATGAAAGTAAGGAAATATGGCCTTTCAGGATTTCTGCCTACATGTGTGATCAGGTAAGTACAATGTGAATGTGCCCCAGGTCATATTGGCTGTATTTGGTCAAACATGAGACGTAGGCTTTTTTTTAATTTTTTGTTTAACCATACCTTCAATCTAACAAGCCACTGGCGGATTAATTCAATATCTCTCCACACCCTGTCCATTCCAAAAGATTGCTTTGTTTCATTCCTATTCACATAGCTCTGGACTAACTCTTTCAGCCACATACCAACACGTACATACACTTTCCCTTCTTTTCCCTTTTTGCCCATTTTCCCTTTAGAATTTTGTGGATACAACAAATTTCCTATTTGTGCACTAGCGCCACGCATTTTTATTAAGTGAATATCTTATGTTCGTCCTCATTTTACAACAACTTAATTGGCTCTCTATTTAGTGTGGTATGCGAAGTGTTCCTTTCTTTGTGTATGAGGACAACATTGGCACGCAAACCAGGCACGCACACACCCGTTCAATAAGTGCAAAGGGTAGTCAGACAAGTGTGACTTTGTAATTGAAATGTTTCCATGCATCGTTCCTTTGATTTTTCACAAAGTGTGTTTTCTGTTCAGGTCAAGAAAAGTGGTCTGTCTGAGCTGATGAGTCAGGAGGAACGCAAAAGACAAGAGGTATATTTTTACTCTGGTTCAGAGTCAATCTAATAGAACACATGCACTTAGTTAAGACTTACCAAACACTGGGGGAGTAGAGCCGTCCATTCGCTCTCTGTAAACTCCACTGGACCAATAAAAAATCCATTAAAGGAGTGAAGCAGGAAACATGCATCATGGATTATTATGTCCTTTAAGTGAATGCATTGTAAAGGGGAGGAGAAGGACATAAATTCTGATATTTACCTGAATCCATGTCATATTAAGGATGACGAGACTAATGGATTGATTGACAGATTAATATAAGTGCATGGTATTGTTTAATAGCATGCCAAACATACATACATGTATGTGTTCATGTCAGAACCTTCCTCATATAGCAGCCCACAGAGTCAGGACCTAGAGGGGTAACTGAAGGAAAAGTTGCATGTGATGAACGAAAGAACAAACTCGCTCTCTCCTGTCCTTCATTAGGCCATATTCGAGGTGATCTCGTCGGAGCACTCTTATCTCCACAGTCTGGAGATCCTGATCCGTATGTTCAAGAACTCTGCAGAGCTCAGCGAGGCCATGACCAAGACCGAACACCACCACCTCTTCTCCAACATCACTGACGTCTGTGAGGCGAGCAAGAAGTAAGTGGCTGAGTTGTAATGTGTTGCTTTTGTAGGCAGAATTATTATCAGACGCACATTGTTATGTGCCTTCGTGTAAGATTCTCTGTGTTTATGTGTCTGGAAGTGTTTTTCGGATGTTAAGAACTTACAGTAAGTAGCTGGTGTTTTTTGGCTTTACTTACTCTGTCAGTGTTAGTGGGTTTTGGTTTTTGCTAATGAGCTGGATAATTCTCTTGTTTAAGAGCACTTAACAGTGGTAGACCACACTCATTCCATGTGAGGTGTGTCTGTAAACACTATTTACTGCATGCTGATACCATTCTTTTGGCCTGTTTTCTGCTTGTGAACGACTGTGGGTACACAGCAGTGAGCGGATTTCTGGTTGTGAGTACATACACTGTATATAAGGTTACATGGTGATAGACAGAAAGGAGAGCCTGGGAAGAAGCAAGGAACAAACTGAGTTAAACGACAAAGAACAAAACAACAATTTAGCTTTGCGATGGTTATATTGTCATGAACATTCCTCGCTGCTTGAGGGAGCTCAAAAAACAGGCTGGACATGTCAGTATTTTTTTTCCTGTTTTTAGAGGTGAGGGCATGTAAATGCAATGTCCAAAATCTGCTGCTATGAGCCCCCTGAGCTTAGCTGTCAATCATGATTTACAGTGCATGCATGTGGACTGTTTAATGGCATTCATGGCCAGGTGACCATGAACTTCCAAAGATCCCATAAACTGATGGAAACCATGAAAGTTGAGACTGGTGAAAACTGTGCTGGTTCAGCAATTACTGTGCTGGACCAGGCATCATTATTTCTACAGATGATTGACAGTTTTTCACCCTATTGGATTTTGTCAGCTCAGTATTCATTATGAATAACGGTGTCTGCTCTTGTTCTGAAGTAACTGTTGACTATTGCAGCAGTCTCATGTCCTTTAAAATCACTGTTTTACAGATGTTTAAGTCTACGAGACTGCTATAGGGACTGTTGACTACCGTTTGGCTTGGTTGAGACCACATTTACCACACTTGCCTTAGTACTGCCTTGACCAAAACCTCCCTTCAAACAGGTTGTTACCAAGTTTTTGAGGTTAATAAATCTAAGTGTGAAATGAGGTTAAGCTAGTCTTTTTACTGTTGCCAAGGGTGTATGTTTATGAAAATTGTTAAAAGACTGTTTAAGACCATTTACTGAGTTTAAGTTTATTATGGCTGTCGACACACACGCACACACACACACACACACACAAGGGGTGTGTGTGTGTGTCTGTGTGTGTGTGGGAGGGATGCACTGCCTCCCACGTGCAACTGTTCATGACATTTGCTCAAGGATTCCATGTCAGGATTACAGCCCCCTCCTGAGAAGGACAGATTTCTTCTCCTTGCATACATTGTGGCGCCTACATGTGCATGTGACTCCATTATCTGGATTAAAGCAGCTACTACAAAATATTACCCCTCATATTCTGAACATTAGTCGGTACATGAGGATTTGCATGGAGGGAATTTGTACATCTATTTACACCTCATTCCCACTCTGCACAAATAGGGTTACCTGTAAATTCCTCAACAATTCCTTCCTGCGTTCAGACGTGCTGCAGCTCATCTCACTCACCTTTCTCATTCCAATGCACAGGCCACACACATTAATGTGATACTTCACCCTCCCCGCCTAAATACTCAAACCTGCGTAGCTCCAGGGAGAGTGGAGGGCAGGGAGACGCAGAGACAGCAGATCTAGAGATATGAAGAGGCCCGTTGCACTGGTTAAACAAGATGTTTCACTTGAAACAGATAGTCAGGCTTTGAGTTGAGCACTCTCAAAGAAAACAGAGCATAATGTCTCTCCACCTGCAGACTCCTGTTTAGACTGCGTGTGATGGTGAGCGGTGGAGAGAGCATTTCCCTGAGGCCTAATAAATTTAGCAGTGAGTGCTGGTAGAACTCTTTTATTTTCATTCATAATTGGTTAGCCGTCTAATTTTGGGCATTTCCTTTTTTTCTTTATTTTCAACATCCTGATTTAACTCTCGTCCCTTGACCTCTTCCCTCATGACAACATGCTGTTATTAGGGTCAGCGGGTTTTGCCCCAGGAGTGAGTGCAGCCTGAACTTGAAGAGCCACACTTTGTGTGTGTGTGTGTGTGTGTGTGTGTGTGTGTGTGTGTGTGTGTGTGTGTGTGTGTGTGTGTGTGTGTGTGTGTGTTTTCTGTTGCCCTGTGTACTTGTGCCCTAGTTAGAAAGGTTACAGCTCAGAGGGCACAGGGTCATGCTTTGACACAAGGCCGCATGATCACAAGAAGCTTTGTTTTCCATAGATAGTAATAGCACAGTATGTGTGTGTGCGCGTGTGAGTGGAGAAGGTAGGGATGGGGCTCAGTAGGGGCATGAGAGGTGCTTTTGCAGATGAGCTCAAACTCGGTCCAGCCAGTCAAGGTCAGCGTCCTGTGTCTGTGCAACAGTTTCCTGTTTGTCACCTTGGACCACGCATGCAAAAACACTTATTCCCTTGAAGCTCTCATGTGGCGTGCCGTTAAACCGGCCATCTGGTGGTGCTCAGGAAGAGGAAAAGCCTCTGTGTTATGGTTAATGGTAGGCTATGTCTATTTTAAGAGGCAGGGAGTTCCTCTTGTGATCTTGCAGCAGGTTGAGAAGAAAGGTGTTGGCAGTGCTTCCTGCCTTCCTGACTTTTGTATCTGTCATTATATCCTATATTCTCCCTAGTGTGGGATGCCTCATGATTTGACGCTTCGGACTCGAGCTGTTGCCATGTACGATGTGAATCACTGACATACTAACCCTTCATTTCATCCTGTGCTCAGGTTCTTTAAGGAATTGGAGGAAAAGCACCAACAGAACATAGTGATCGACGACATCAGCGACATCGTCTGCAGGCACGCTCAGTCCAACTTTGATCCTTACGTCACTTACTGCTCCAATGAGGTCTACCAGCAGAGAACCCTGCAGAGGCTGGTGTGAGTGACCGAGCAAACGCATGTTCTTATCATATCTCTCTCAGATTTGATCCGACATGACTGTTCTGACACTTTGAACCAGGGAGTTTGCTTTCCCTCTCGTTTCTCTGTGTTTCATCAGTTACTCCTCTTTCTGAACACCCAGTCTCCCTCCGTCCTCTCTTGCAGGTCCAAGAATCCAGCTTTTAAGGAGGTGCTGACCAGGATAGAGGGCCACCCAGACTGCAGGAACCTCCCCATGATCTCCTTCCTCATCCTGCCCATGCAGAGGATCACTCGTCTGCCCCTGCTCATGGATGTGAGTGCACTGAAGACAAACAGTAGCACGAGCTTTGGAATTACATTAGACATTGACTGTTACGCAACAGTTTGATTAGTCATAGTCCCCTGACTAATTCCACTCAGGGTGTGTTCTGACCTCACAGAAGTTTGCGTGACCTTATACCAATCCTTAATAATGCTAACTGATTTCTCCCCCTCGTTCTTCCTTTTTAATATTTTTTTTCTTCTTCAGTTTCATGCTTCCCTTGGCACCAGATTATTCTGTCCCTGCTGTGCCTCCCTCCCTTCCTCTCTCGTGCTCTACTTTTATCCTCCTCTCTCCCGTCTTCCGTCAGTGTCTCTCTAGGGACTCTGGGTTTTATGCTCGTAAACTAAGAGGCTGTTGGATCCTGAGAAAGTTTGGTTTCAATTCATTTCTTCCCACAGTGCCTTTAGGCATCAATATTTTAGCAGGCCTTGGATAGAGTGTAGTGCGCATGCGTGAAATGAATTGTTATGGATTTTTTTGTGCAAGAATGTATGTTATGCCGGATTTTTTTTTTTTATGGCAAGAATTAGTGCAACTTATTTGTGCCCTGACCCCCACCCCCCCTTGTGTTGCAGACAATTTGTCAGAAGACGCCTAAAGACTCGACACAATATGAGGAGTGTAAGAAGGCTTTACAAGCGGTCAGCAAGGTCAGTGGGTTCAATGAGTCGACCTGAAGTGTTACACACCACATTCTGGATTTTATGTGTTTATATTTTCATAACTTTCACACATATCTGTACATAATATTTCTCTTGAGCCTCCTCGTAGTGCTATAGAGATGCGAGGCAGTCAAAAATTTATATTTTGGTGAAGACTTTGAGGCAAATACACAATAGAAAAATCAAATTTTTCTTCTTGTACTTCATAAATTTTAGCACATCAGTCATTGTGATTAACAGATGCTGCGTGTATATGTGTGTGTGAGCAGGTGGTCAGAAAGTGTAACGAAGGAGCTCGCACAATGGAGAGAACGGAAATGATGTACACCATCAACTCTCAGCTGGAGTTCAAGATTAAGGTATGGACATGTATTCCTGCTGAAAACAACATAATTCTAACTCATATCTCACATGAACAGCCTCAAGGTAATAGTTTAGCACAGTAGAATTCGTTTAAATAGTAATCAAGGATGTAAAACATGGCCTAATGAAATCATACACTGGCTTGTGCACACATGCAGATGCAACAATACAAAGAGTACACACCACCGTCAAGTCACTCTCACTCGGCAGTATCGAGTATCTACACACGTAATGCACACAAGGCTTGGCAGGCGCAAGTGTGTCTAAGTAGTGTGGGAAATATCTGTTGGCACATTTGGGATTCACAGATGTCAAGTGAACATATTCTCAGTCTGCATAGCCAGCTGTTCACACATGCACACGCAAACTGTGATTTAGCATTTCCTGACAGCACCAACATTTTTAAAATACTTTATTTGGTTAGATATGTTGTCTTTTCCTGTTCGTCACATTTATTTCCCTTCTTCTCTCCCAGCCGTTCCCCCTGGTCTCATCCTCCAGGTGGATGGTAAAGAGAGGAGAGCTGACAGCCTTTGTGGAAGACAACGGCATCTTCCTCAAGCGGACGTCACGGCAACAGGTCTATTTCTTCCTCTTCAACGACGTCCTCATTGTGACCAGGAAGAAGAGGTGAGCTGGACATTGCACACAGGCTCTGTGTTTGATTTAACTGGCGCGAGCGTAGCCTTGGTGCACCGGCTTTGCTCATAACTCACCTGTTCCGACATGTTGAGGGTGAAAGTGTAACCATAAGCCATTGGTTTTCACTGTGTGTGTGTGCGTGTGTGTGCGTGTGCGTGTGTGTGTGCGTGTGCGTGTGCGTGTGCGTGTGTGTGTGTGTGTGTGAGTATGTGAGAACTCTATATGGCTTAGACCCTGAGTACAGGGTGTGTGACATTGTTCTCATGTTTTAACTTGTCCTGGGAATTGAGCCTGTTCAGATAAAAAAAAAAAAAACACAAAGAGATCCACGCTGAAAAGAAAGAATGAAACATTGAGAATACATGAAACAATAACAATAACAGTTGCGTCACAGCCACAGTGTTCAGTCATTATCAGCAGGGCTGAGAGAGTTGAGAGGGATTGGCACCTGCAGTGCACTGCACAATCACTGCAAATGCACTGGTTTTCTACTCTGTCCCCCTGCTTCATGGGTGTGTTTATTAAGATGAACAGGTGCAGTTACCTGAACCTACTGCGACTTGGGATTATGGATCTGAGCTTTATTTTATGAAGGTTGTCGAGGCTTAAACCCGTCCTGGTGCCATGAATCACGTGGAGCTAGTGGACCTGCTCATTGTCAGCCCTGTCAGTCAGTCCTCCTTCCCCTCCTGTTTCCTCTGGTTTTAAGCAGAACCATGAAGCAAGCCCTAAACAGCACTTCCTCAGAATGATGTGGTTCTCATTTGCGTGCGTGTAGTCTGGGAGTTTGTGCACATGTGTGTCTATTTGTGCCAGAAAAAAATCCTTTCCCGTCCATCTCCCTCTGTGTCTGGAACTGATTGTCCCGCCACTCGCAAACTCAGAATTCCTAAGAATCATTAAAAAAAAAAAAGAAAAGAAAAGAAAAGAAACATTCCATGTGATATTTTTCTGGGAATCTGATCCTGGACGGCAGGCTCCAGCGGTGTGTGGTGTCAAACCTGTGTTTGGAAGAGGGATTTGGGAAAGGGAGTTCTCCGGAATCGGTGTGTGTATTTGTGTGTGCGTGCACAGTTGAATGGGAGAAGCTGTTATAATATTGTTTTGTACTGCAGTACTGGAGCCCTGCTGTGGCACGCTACTCTACTGCACTCCATCTGCAGTCATCAAAACAAAAACACACCAGGGGTACACAAGGCTAGCCAGGCACCGCCAGGTCACAAACCCTTCTAGACATAATGGTATAACGGCTCTTTCCCTCGTCATTATGACCTGGAGCGTGTGGGAGGGGAGTGATGGCTTACAAGCGGCTAACTGCACCCAATGCTCAAATCCTTTCACTTACATTTCCAGAAATATCGTGAAAACCAGAGGGGAGGGGTGAAAAGGTCAAAGCAACAGCACTTACACAGTAGAGAAAAACATACCTACGACCTGAACATGTTTTCACTTTTATTGGCCTATTTTTCTTAATATGCAGGAGTAAGAGAGCACAAATGTGTTTTTTTGTGTGTGGGTGTGTGTGGGAGGGGGTTGTTAGACTGTGTTACTTGATTGCAAATCCCAAAATGTTGGGATGGTTGGGGGTTCAGTAGCATTTAACTGAAAATAAATTTAGTATTGTATGTGCTATATCAAGTCAGATTATTTTAATGTCTGTATCGGCTCAGCTTTGAACAAGTTGCAAATCGAAGCTGAAACAATTAGTCATTTGACACAATTTACTAGCAACGATTTTGGCACTTGATGAATTGCTGAAGTTATTTTAAAACAAACTCTGGTTCCACTTTCTCCTGTTTTATATTGATTTTTATATTGATTAAGACTTGGACTCTGAGAAACTGATGAAAATTTTTATTATTTTCTGTCATTAAATAAAGCAGAATTAGTTGATTTTAATTGACAGAATAATTGTCAGATTAACGAGTAAAAATCAATATTAGTTGCAGTTATAAATATTTAAGAACTAACAACAAAACAAAGTTTAAGCCTCTGGTTTTGTTTGTTTACATATTTGGTGTTTATTATTCGTTGCCCTTGGTTTATTGTAGGAAGGAGTGGCGATAAATCATCCAATAAGAGTTTCGTGAGACTTCAAGCTTAACAAATCTGTTTATTTTATCAAGATCAAACTTGATCCAAGAAGAAACTGGCTGTTGGAAACCAGCTCCATGTCAGACTGGGCTATTGTCACGCAGTGGGGGAAAGTGTTGATCTGCTGCACTCTGGCTTGCAGGAACACTTACATAACACCCAGTCCACACCAGCTGGCTCCTCTCTCATCTTCACTTCCCCCCTTTTTCCTGTGTGATGCTGGGCATCATCTAAACATTGAGTATTATTGAGGGTGAGGTTTTAATTTCTCTCTTTTCTCTCTTTCTCTCTGGTCTTTCTTGTTCTTTTTGGTAGTCGTGACCTTGTGGCTTTTTTGTCTGTCCTATCTTTGTGTGTGTGTGCGTGTGTGTGTGTGTGTGTGTGTGTGTGTGTGTGTGTGTGCGTGCGTGTGTGTGTGTGCAAGTCTATAGTCCCAACATGTTCTGTTCTGTTTTTTTTTTGTTTTTTTTCTCCCGCTGTTTGTGTGAGTGTGCCTAGTCTCAACACTCCTGCTTTGCACCAGAACATTCTGCTTTCACCGTGTGTGACTGTGTATGTACGTGCACGCTTGATTTGGAGTCCTATCTCGACATCTCTCTGTTGATTTGTGTTACTTCTGCTTGTGTGTTGGAGAAGGGGTTGTACACTAGTAAGATGGCAGCTGGCACAGTTGTGATGACGTGTGGTAGATGCCTGCGCTATCTCTAAAACTGGAGTGATTTTCATACCAGCAGGGTTGTGTGTTTGCTTCTGAGTAAATAGCTGATGTGACGAGATAAGGTTTTCTTTCTCCTACTATTTAATTTATTTTTGAATGCCTCGCTTACACATTTTGACACAGGATTTCTCAGTTATTTCCCACCATCGTTCCTTCAGTTAGCAATGATCTGACTCTGCATATCCACCCGCACGCACCCATCAGAGAACTCACCTCACAAACATGCAGATTCCTCTCCCATCCCATTCCCCAGTGTCATGTAAATGGCATTCCAGGCATTTTACCTGTAGGGCCTGTAAGAGCCAAATACTGACACCCTGAAATCCAGGGATTCTTATTTTACCACCAAACAATATTAATAACAATATTTTTAAGGGACAAATTACATGTATAACATGACATGTTTTCCTTAATTTGTATCTTTAGTTTAGGTGCAAATTAAGGGGTTTACCCTAAACATGTAGATACATTAATTGAACATAATACATTCAAGTGTTTTTAATGGACTATATGAATATGTTTAAAGAGTTCTCAAGGGTCCCAAGATTCCTGATTAAAAAAACAAACATTAAAATAATCCCCCCTAATTTGATTTTTGTGGGGAAGTTTTCATTATTTTTGGTCAGTTGTAATGATTTTCTAACCCCAAATATCCCCTTAATATCCCATTTAATTCCTTTTAAGGTAAAAGAAAATGACAGGGTCTATTTTCATAGTGCAAGGTGGTGCAATGTTACAGATAAATGGAATTTAAGATTTTCACTCCTGTGTAAGCTTTTGACAAAACTTACCGTGATAAATTTGTAGGTTAGTAAAGCAGATTGAAAATAGGGGTATGAGGTAGAAGAGATGTACGACATAGTTTGACATTTTGGCTTCTTCACTTTTTTGCTGAGAGTTAGACAAGAAGATCGATGCTGCTCTCATGCCCCAGTCTTTTTGCTAAGCTTAGCTAACCGGCTCCTGGCTCCACAGCTTCATGTTTAACAAATATTAGAGGGGTGTCAATCTTTTCATCTAACTCTCAGCAAGAAAGCAAAAAAGCATATTTTCTAATATGTCAAACTTTTCCTTTAAGCTTCAGTTCAGTCTGGTTACCCTCATGCACAGAGCAGCATCTTTTCTTCCACTTCCAGCCCCCTCCCTCTGTCCTGTTCACTCCCTCTGCTTTTATCTATCTCTCCCTCTACTTTCTTTCTCCTCCTCTGAGAAGTCTAATTGGTTGTGGGCAGCAGGCTTTAACTTGACTGACTGCTGGACAATAGGGACTGAGGGGTAACAGTTGAACCTTGTTGAGAACCTTCCAACCGTGACTGGATTCTCCAACCAGTCACAACATCAGAGTACAGGGTTTGTGTGTGTAAGTGAAACAGTGAGACAGTAAGACATAGGTAAGATACACTGTTCGCTACTGTTTGTTTAACCGTTAGCTTTGTCCCTGCTTGTGTGTGTGTGTGTGTGTGTGTGTGTGTGTGTGTGTGTGTGTGTGTGTGTGTGTGTGCGCGCGCGTGCAGCATGACTGTACACTAATGGATTTTCTGGTTTACAAGAAGCTAGCTCCTGTCCAGCAGCGTCTCAGAGCTCCAGTCTCAGGTTGATAAAACACATGAGCTGGACTTAAGCTTCTGTTCTTCAGAGCGCTGTAAAAAAAAAAAAAAAAAAACATACACACACACATTAGAGGGAGCATGCTTTCCAACCAGCTCCAGATGTTTCTAACTAACTCTGTGTACTGCTAGACACGGGGTCATGCTCAGGTAATGGTACTCATGGGAAATGTAGGCATGTACTAAAGGAACCAGAGGGCAGCTGATTTAGTGTAAGGACATTTAGACGGCTGAATATGTGGAGTTTTGACTGGCACAGATGCTGAGACATAATGTGACAGCTGATTTATAAATCCAGGTGAATTTGATTAACCACACGGTGTGCAGCCTCTCATGGGTCAAGCAGCTGAGGCACCAAGAAACTGGATCTCTACTGAAAACAATGAGCTAAAATTTGATATGTGGGGGGATGGATGGTGTAGCAGGTACACAATAATCAGCAAATATTGTGTATTTTGTACTCAATTCTTATTATTGCACCAATATGATTTTGGTAATTTATTTAAATCTTTGAATATTTAGCAATTCTTTATATTAGATTTATTTAATTTGCTTTAAATTAATTAACCAATAGGGAAATATCTGTTACCATGACAGACACTAGTTTCTTTCGACACTATTTAATCTTTATAAACATTTTGATTTAATTTAATACTGGAAAAACAAAGTAACAACAACATGGTATATTTTTCCACTCTCCACTTGGAGGCTGTTGCACCATATCCAGGAATACAGACTGTAACATTTAGGGCTGAAGGGCACATTGCACCAGTTGTGGACTAGGGCTTTCAACAGACTACCACAGGAACCGTTTAGGAAGAGAAACGCATAAAGAAGTCATTCCAAAAAGTCAAAATGAAAAACAACCTTTGGTTAAATGATACTAATGTTTGTCTAAATGTTTGGTAGAGAACTTGAATAAAAGAAGCTGAATCCACATTTGTGTTCAAATGACAAGTTGCCAAAAGAGTATCTGATTATCTGGATTTCTAGACAACGGTTTATTTTAAAATTACAAAATGGAAAGTGTACTAGTCTCATTTGTGTTTTTTTGCATCGGTATTTAACTGCATTGACTGGTGGCTACGGTTCCAGGAGTAGTGCTTTTCAGTGAGCTGATTTGACTGTCAAATTCAATTTCCCGTAGTTTTCCACCAAAGCAGCAATATGTGTGTATGTGTAGCACATATAACTGTAGAGCTGTATTTGTATGTGTGGTGAACTGTGTAAAGTCCATTTCCATGTAAAAATTCTTTTGTTGTTGGCTGTTGCATGACAGGAGAGTGAATGTTCAACTGAGGCCACAATAACGATCCAAAGTGGCAGCCTCTCAATCACAAGTCCACTTTACACATTTCAAGGTCTCCATCACCAAAACCACTGTCATACACAGACCACACATCTTGAATACCTGAAATGAAACATCATTAAACCTTTCTTTCACTCTCTGTGTTCTTGTCAGTGAGGAGAGTTACACTGTGATAGACTACGCTCTGAGGGACCAGATCTGGGTGGGTTCCTGCCAGCCCGAAGATCTCAACCTGTCACCGGTCAGGAGCACCACCAGCATGCTTAGCTCCCGGCAAGCCGGCGCCAACCATCTTTTCTGTCTGCGTTTCCGTAGCAACCACTCCGGTGAAAAGGTGCCCATGATCCTGGGGACGGAGTTGCTGTGAGTACTTTATTTTGTAACCTTTGTGCCTCGTAACTTTGCTGTTTTCGTTTCACTTGTGTTCAGTTACAGATTTACGAGATCTGCTGTAAAGCAACTGGTGAATCATTTTTGCCTCTGACATAACGTCACTCCTGCATCTTTCTACGTACATATTAGTAGGCCAGGGTACTCGTAAGGTTTGATTTCCAGTCAAGACAGCAGAGCGAGTTTTTTCCATGGCTGAATACACATCTCTGTGAGAAATGGCTCAGGACCTGCTCTTCACCTTGAAACAGATTCCTACTCCCTTATCTTTACCTTTATGTGCTCTAGTATGCTTTTTTAGCTTGAAGTAAGAGAATCCCTTCACCCTTCTCTCCTTAGCTTTTATTTCTTAGTCTCATTTTGGACCATTACAGCTCACAGGGATATTTTGTTACAGCCATTCTCTAGACGCAGCCTGAGCCTCACTGTTCTTCTTTATGTGACCTAGGAAATGAAGTTTATTATTGCGTTTTACAGTCTGCAGTCGTACTGTAACACAGACCAGCTGTACCGGATAATTGTTTTGTTGACTGAATGCTTTGCAACACAACCATCTATTCTAGGGCAAGCAACTTCCTTTGTTTAAAGTCTGCTGAACTTTATTGCATGTGCAAAACGATTACTCACACATCTGCCCTAGAAATATATTCAGCTGGATTGAAGGTCCTTGAAGTTCTTGCTTGTAACCGTATGGATAAAACTCAAACCACCCCACCCCCCCCACCAGCACCACCACCAATCCCATCTCTCTTTGTAGAGGGAATAGACTAAAGAGCGAAGTTGTTTACATAGATTACATAACCCACACAAACAAAGGGGATCTGTCATATATTGGACTTCATACAGGGTGTATTTGTTCTAGTTAGCATTAGCAACGTTCTCACATGTACACAAATATGCTCGCTCACACACACACACACTCAGTTTTCACTGTAATTATTTACTTTGGTTCAAAGCTTTGTAATGGTGTGTTTTCATATGCACAGGGCCTGTTCCTCCTCATTCCTGTGTAGTTAGAGAACCTCCCTCTGTATTCTCATTACAGAAGCTGTGGTTTTTCAGCTCCATTGTTTAATAGCGCTGCCTTTAAATGGCTCTCCACCTGTTTTAAAACCTTTTCTCAAATCAGCCAAATGTTCGATAAGTACATACTGTATTACTCTATGACTATGGCTGTAAAGATTCAATCCATGGAAGGTGAAATTTTTTTTATATTCATTTCAAAAATGTATTTCAGCTTTAACATTTAAATTGTTAAATTGTGTAATAGAGGGGATTGAGTAAATGATAGTTAAACATAGTAACCTTACAGCAAGGCTCATTTCAGACAGGAATAGTTATTTTCAACAGCTTAACAACCACTCAGCACGGGGTACAGCCGCTAAGGGATTAGAGTACAACTGCTACAGTCAGTCATTTAACCAGTGAATCAGCATAACCTTTGATAATGCTCAATAGGTTTGAGTCATCTGTAAGAAATAATAAATTCTCTGGTCTCAGCTTCTCAAATATGAACATTTGTGGTTTCCCTTTCCCTCTCTCTGCTATGATTGTAAATTGAACATTTTGGGGTTTGGGCTTTTAAGACGAAACACGACATTTGTCACATGAAGATGTCACATTGGACTTGATGGATAATGAAAACACTTGTTTGTTGCAGCCGGACAGAAATATATCAAAGTGTGAAGACGGCAGTCAGTACTGCTGTCCTGAAAAGAAACACCTTCATGTTTGGTCTTTACTCCATCCTGATAAATTGATATAGTTGAAAAATCCCACACATCTCCACTGTCCAGTTTTGTGTTGCTTTTCAAAATTAAAACTAGTTTTCTAGAGTGGGTCACTCGTATTAGCCACTGAGCTGTCTAAGCCAGACAAAGTGACTGCAGTAATAGCGTTAAGTGTGACTGCTGTGGGCCTGTGTAGGTGGCAATCTTAGTGACATGACTCAATGTGCTGCCCACTGAGCCTTTAGATACTGCCCATGTATACATGTGGGGGTCTCCTTGTCTGACTGCCCCCTCTGTCTAGTGTGTGTTGTTGTGGAAAGCCCCTGGACTCCCTCCTTTGATAGCTTGGGTTTGGGGCCCTTGGCTGAGATGTAATGATGTGTGTGTGTGTGTGTGTGTGTGTGTGTGTGTGTGTGTGTGTGTGTGTGTGTGTGTGTGTGTGTGTGTGTGTTTGTGTGTGGAGGGTGCAGCGCTCCACTCACTGTAGTACTGAATGAGCTGAGAAGAGGGGACCCTGGCAACCGTCCATTGTTACAGTGGTTGCTAGGCATTGTTTAAGCTGTTGCCTAGCAGCGGCCCATTGTTAAGTGGGCTGTTTCCCACGACTATCCTTACTCCCACCCTGTTGCTTCACTCTCCCCGACTCTTCTTCACAGTCCCGTGTCTGATCTTTTAGACAGCAGACAGTGTCTGCTCTTTGTTTTTGATGACCACAGAATAACTTCCTCTTCCTCCGACCATTCATTCTAGTTTAGTGATTTAACCCGACATGACACATAGAAGTGGTGTTTCATTAGCCAGTCTATTTTGGTCTTCTATCAGAGTTAAATGAAGTAGAGAGGATAGATGAGTTTTGAGGCTTTCTCGGAAATTGCTGTGAACAGGATGGACAGTATTGTGCCTATGACTAATTATTGTAGATGAAGCTACTTTATATTCTTGATCACTCATGAAGTCTGTAAATTTCCCTCAAACGGTAAAAAGCAGCAGGATGGAGCAACAGTCTAGAAGGGCTGTAACAATTATTTTCATTATTGATTGATCTATCTGTGGTTTGGATTGATCACAGTTTTCCAGAGCTGCAGGTGTTGAATTCAAATAGCTTGTGTTGTTGACCAGCTGTCACAAATCCAAACATATTGAATTTGCAATAAAAGAAAAGAGTAAAGAAGGATTTCCTGACATATGAGAAGCTGCAACTAGAAAATGTATCGTTACGTTTGATTATTTGACCGACCATTTTGTCACTATGAAACCCACCTTTGTTTTGTGACAAAATGTGCTATGTGTGTTATTACTACTGAAGTAAAGCTGAAATATATTGAAACAAATTTATTTACACACCTGTTCCACGTGTGTTTCAGTGTTCACAAAAAGTCAAAGAGAGCCTGGGAAGGAAGCTGCTGATTGGATAGAGGACGGTCAGCTGATTTGGTCTAACTGTCACATTTCAGACGGCAAAGACAACAAAAAATGCAGGCCTAGTTTGTGTGGGATTTCTCTGGAAAAGGTATAAGCATCAGTGGTTCTGAGGAATTAAATTTCTTCCACTCAAAAGGAAGTGGCTGTGCTGCGTTTACTTGCATATATTGTTCACTTCCCTGCTACATTTAAGTGCAGCTCAATTCGGGTTCCAATGTGAAATTCCACACATTCTGCCCGAAGGCGGGTCTGTGTTTTTTTGTTTTTTTGTGTCTTTTTTTTTTTTGTGGAAATGAAACTGTAGAAATGGAATTTTTTATGTTGGTGTCAATGTGGGTTAGGGTGAGGGTTGGTTAGTTTCTGCTTTCAGTTCCATTACTTCCATTTTCTCTCTACCTGCAGAACCTTTAAGCCGATTACCTGTGTCTACTGTAGCCTACGTGTCACTGTGTGAGGTCTAAGAAACATGCATACAATAGACTGATCTTTGACTTCAGCAGTGGCGTAATACTTGAGGAATTCAGACAGACAGCTGAATTGGAGATGGCACAGGGACGTCTGTGTGGCTGCTCTCCTCTCGTATCGTCTGTGATTCTCTTCTTTTCTGTCTGTGTCCTCTTCCTTTTCTGTATATCCTTTTGTTCAGTGTGCGCATGTCAGCGCGCCTTCCCCATGACCCAATGTTGTGTCCTTTCCAGAGTCAGTGAATAGCGCTTCTCTATTAGTAGAACAGAGCAGCTACAGAACTCTGCAGCAAAACAGTTCTGTTAGGCAGATATGCAGCTATAACACAAAGCAGCATCGGTTATGCAACAGCCCCGACCGCGAGGAGGGCGTCTGTACTTATGCTGCACACTTTGGCATTGTTTTTGATTTTTTTTTACTTAACTCCGTCTGCTTTCGTTTATGAGATTGTTTTGGTTTTCTTACTATGTCTGCTTTTGTTTATATGATAACGAAAAACTTGCTGATGGGAATGGTTCCCTCTCCCAGGGAGTTTCCCTCGCTGGTCTGCTCCGGGCAGAGAGATGTCATGTTTCCGTTGGAAGAGTAGGGATTGTACCCAAATGCTGTTCTGACCTGTGGTTAAGTGGAAACAAGGGAATGATTCAGCTGGGAGTAAACAAATTGATAGGAGTTAGCAGAAAGGGTTAGGAGGAGAGGCAGTGATGAAACTGAAATGAGATGGAAAACAGTGGCCTGGTGGTGATTTCAAGTTGGCAGAGGAAGGGAGATTAGGAGGAGGCTGTCATCACTTTCTATCTGCTTGTGTGAAAGAGGTTTTACAGTGCAGTGGTGAGGCCTTGCTTCTTTTCAGAGGTGAAACAAGAACCTCTGACAATGGATTTATGATTCTTGGCAAGCTCTTGCTGTTGGGGATGAATGGTTAAAGGCAGAGGGAGCTTTACTACCATGAATAGACTGATCCTGCACAGGCCTGTAGTCATCTAGAGGGGAAGAGGGCAAGCACCTGCTGTTTGTCCATGTGCAGTATTCACATGCCTGCATGTAAACACACACTCTTACAATTTGAAGGCTGTTTTTTTTTTTTTTTTTTTTTTTTTTTTTTTACCTGAACCCTGTTTTGGTACATGATTCACATTCCACAGATAACCATTAAGTGCCTCTCAAACACATGGTTGTCTGTTTGCGCCTGTGCAGGATCTATTGAATACATGTACATTCATAATTTCAATAAAGTATTTCAGCTGTTTAAGTGTGCACATGTATCAAACTGTGTGTCGGCATGTGTGTCCAGCTGTCAAGAGCAACGTCTAACAGCTGCCTTTCCCACAGAGCAGCTCGGATGTTGCACATTCAGTAG